AAAATAAATCAGACCCTAAAACAAAAAATTAAAAAGCTATGCGCAGAGAGCGGGTTAAAATGGACTAAGATTCTCCCACTGGCCCTTATGTCCATCAGAACCACCCCCCAGGAGAAAACTAAAGCTCAGCCCTTACGAGCTGCTGTTTGGACACCCTGTTCCCCAACATTTCCCCTTACTACCGGCTCACACTTCTTCTCTTTTAGGCGATGAAGGACTCACCTCTTATATTTTATCTCTACAGTCTCAGTTAAAATCTCTCCATAGGTATGCTGCTTTAAGCCAACCCCTCCCTGCCGATGTCCCAGCACATCGCATCCAGCCTGGAGACTGGGTATATATAAAAACTTGAAAACGGTCTCCCCTTAAACCTAAGTGGCAAGGACCGTATCAAGTCCTCCTCACCTCCCACACCGCCGTAAAGGTAGCAGAAAAGGACAACTGGATTCATTATACTCGTACAAAAAAAACCAGAAGTCTCACCAGAGCTCAGGATCGGCTCCAACGCGAGCTTCCCTGACCTGGAAAAGGGGAAGCCAGAAGAAGACAACTGCGGACTTCGTGGGAGCACCGCACGCTCACCTGACCGCAACAAGGGTGAGCCAGAAGCAGCCGAAAAAATAAAAACAAACACCTCCTGGACCTGCAGCCCGTTAGATAACATAAAACTCAAACTAACCAAGGTCCACTAATGAACTGTCACCCTTTTGGGGTCCTGCCCAGCCCAGAGAGCACCGAACTCCAAGTACTGCATCCTCTAGACACTTTTGGATCAGCTAAAACAGAGCACTTTGAGACTGTAAGATGTCCCAGAAGACCAGTTATTGGAGCTGCAGGGTTGTGCATACTGTTTGTGCTGATTTTTGTTATAATATGGTTTCTATAACTATGTTATTTCTAATCTTTCTCTTTGCTGGACAAATAAGTCTCTCACAGGGATCGGCTATAGCTGCCAGTTGCTGCAGATGTGCTAATCCTGGTGCCCGAGGTTTTCCTGTCTGGAGAAGTGATTCAATCAAACTCTCTGATATAGACAGGAAGGTCAACATTGCCCGACGGTATCCTCCCTCACATTGCTGTAGTTCAACAAAAGTTCGGGTATTTACTTATAGAACAGAATATCGTGTAAAGCCTAGCCACCCAGTTTTCAGACAATTTGCAGAGTCTCCTCAGGCTAAGACTACTCTTAAACCTACTGTTGCCCATATCTCTGATAATAATATATACCTCCAATACGTTGAGAGAGCCGCTAAAGCAGAAAACCAAAGTGATTGTTGGGTGTGCAGTCATTTTCCTCTCCACACCCAAGGAGGCATTCCCACGACTCCCATCCCCTTGGGCCCCATCGAGTCACTTTTAAACCCCTCTAATAACCAAGCTTGGGACCAAAGTCAGCAGAAATTCCTTTTGGTAAAGCCTGCTGTTGGAGATTGGTGTTTCTATATAAACTGCTCAGTATCAAACTGCATTAATTTAGGCACAAGCATATGTCACCACTATTTTACTAGTTCAAGTGGAGGAGACTGGCGTAATAATAACACAGCAACTCCTACCTATTGCAGCTCTTACAATGATTTCTACAACAACAAAAATTTAACCAAGGACACTAATCCTATCTGCACCCCCATCTCCTCTTTAAATAATACCTTGTGGTATTGTTTATACACCGACACCTCCCGGGGACAATGCTTCTTTAATGAAACTGCAAATCCTTCCTTTAAATCAAAGGGTGAACGTGGGGTGCTAGGATTAGGAAACGGGGGCCGAATACCTCCTAAATATTCAAACCTCGCTGCTTTAAAAGGACAATACTGGGTCTGTGGCTCCCCCGCCTACCATAAAATCCCTGCCAAAGGAAAAGGTATCTGCTATCCGGCAATGCTAAAACCCTCTACGTCCTTCGCCACGCACCTTCCACGGGGCAGGTGGCGAAACAAGAGGGATTTGCAAGAAAGCCGTGATATAGTAGACAAATATCAAAAAACTCCGCTTACCAAAGGAGTATTAGTTGGGTGTTCTTTAGCAGGTATACTCCCAGGAATAGGCACTGCTTGTCTTAAAAGATTTACACTACGTTTGCAAGCTGTGATAAAAATCATGGCTCATAAATTCAGTGAAGGTCACAAGGAACTCTCGAAGGCCGTTGCTGCCTTGGCTGACACCCAAGAAGAACTCCAACAAATGGTAGTTCAAAACCGTATAGCCCTTGATTTTCTCCTTGCTGCTCAAGGGGGAGCTTGTGCGGTTATCGGACCAAAATGTTGTGTTTGGGTTAACAGTTCTTTTACAATAGTACAAACCCACCTCAATGATGCAGCTGTCCATATCCAAAAAGCCGAAGATATAGCTAAAATCCCCAAAGACACATCTCTTAGTTGGCTCACTAATTGGTTGCCTTCCCTTACAGGATGGCTTAGACCTTTTGTATTAAGCTTAATCGGAATTGTTATAACTATAATCTGCCTGTTGTGCTGTTTTCAGTGTCTGTGCTCTCTAGGACAACAGTTTATGCAAAGGCAAGTAAAAATGTATGGTCAGTTTGTACAAATATCCAGCATCAATCATCAAAACCTAACCCCACAAGAAGTTGAATACCTAAAAGTGTGTTCCAAAATTTCTCCTGAAAAATTGGAACAAAGGGAGGATTTGTAGTGAGCAGGTTTGTTATTACCCTGAAATAGAATAGTTTTCTGATAAGCATACTGTTAGGTTTACAATAATTTAGATTATTAAGAAGTATTAGCTTTACAGCTGAATACAAGGCATGACCTGTGGCCTAGCAATGCAGCTGACCACAAGGCAGATTGATAGCTAAGCCTTTGCTTGTGTCAAGTAATCATTTTAACTGTATTAAGCATTTTCTGAGTTAAAAGCAGCAAGTATCTCTGTGTCTGTGTGCTGAAAAATCAGCTACAGCAAGAAGTAAGATAAGACAGGGAAACCATTGTTCTGGGTGCACTGGTTGTGTCCTTGAGAAGTATCTACTACTGTGTAAGGTTTTGCTAACATATTATAATGTTACTGTTACTTAACTTTTAGCTTTAAAAAGTGCTAATTCAGCTTAATAGAAATATGCTGTTACAAAGATTTGAAAAGCACCGCCCAAGTATTGCTTTTTTTTGTTAACCATGAAGTCTTGCCTTGTTGTAATAAGTATAAAAGATCACCTCACCCTTAGGGGGGGGGCATTTTGCCTTTTGCTGGCTTTATGGTCTTTGCTCGAGCAAATAAACAGCTGTCTTTCTTTACCCGCGTTGTCTGTCAATCAAATTACAGCTAGACAACGAACCTTAGGGAGGTTTCTCCCACCACAGGCTCTGGCTTTGCCCCTCATGCTTCAGGCCCCTGGCCCTGGTTCTTACCCTTCTCGGGCTTCTAACCTTTACCCTCTCTGCTTCAGGCTAACTCTAGCACATTTAGCCCAGGCTTTGGCCCTCTCTATCCCACGAGCTCCAGCCACTGGCAGGGCTCAAAACACCATGCACCCCTCAGGGCACCACTATGGCTTGTGCCCCTGCCCCTGGCAGACTCAAACCTTCATATGCCTCTCTGGCACTCTGACCTCCACTTTCCATAACAGTCACAATCCAATCCACCAGTATAAACTGCAAACTAAAATATAAATCCCCTGGCTATAACAAAACTCTAAGCCTACCAGCTGTATAATGAAATCCTCCTTATCCTGGATCCCAGCTGCCTACAAGCCTTCAGCCCTTTACTTGCAGCTCCCAGGTGTGGCAAGATTTCAGGCATTAGCTCAGCCATAGCCATCTTGCTACAGAGCTCTTCCTCTTGTGGCTTGCATGGCAGACTGCCTGCCCAGGCTCAGGGTCTGAGCTTATATGCCTCCCAACCACTGCCCCTTCCAGTCAAGTGGCTCTCCAGCCACATGCAGGAGTTTACCATTAGAACCTGACAACTAGCCTCAGGGCAGCTTGCAACTGCTGCCCTGACTGTTTTAGCAGTGCCCCTACTGCCCTCTGCCCTACTGTCCTATTGCAGAGCACTTAGCCCTGCAATAAGCAATCATATCCTCTGGCCCCTGGCTGCCTATTCCCCTGCAGCCAGCTCCTCAAAGGCAATATTTCCCTCTACCTGGGAGACTCTCTGCTGCTGCTTTCCCCTTCATGTAACAGGAGCCTCTCGCTCCCTGTTACACGGACTTATTACATTGGTTCTTTACAGCCATGAAAGTTCCCCGAGCAGGAGAGCTTTATTTGGAAACTGCTTTATATCCACGTTAAAGCTTCCTTGCATTGCCAGACTGGTGGTAATAAAGGACTTCAACAAATGTAAAAGTCAGGCTTACTGCAACTTCACTGGGCATTTTTCTTTTTGTACTTTTGAATTCTGCTCTATCTCCTACTACATGCCCTATGGACATAGAGAAAAAAATAGTGAAATAAGGTAACATGTAATTATTTACATTGATAATCCTGGTACCTGAATAGAGCATCAAAATGCATACTTCCATAGACTTTGCATTCATTTCTGACATTGCAGAATAATCAATGAAGTTAAAGGAGAATCAGTTGCAAATAGGAAAATGGCTTTCATAATTCATGAATTCCACAGTAAGCCTTATGCATAATACCTCCAAGTATATGAATAATGGAATAAGCATGCAACTAATTCTCTTTAACATTAGAAATTCAGAACACTTTCAGCCTGGAAGTATTTTTCTCCATTTCAAAGTCCTTAATCACATTAAACAATCCTTTAAAAAAAATTATGAAACATTCATTTAAAAGTATTTAAGGTCTTTAGCTCATTAAGTTTCTAACAACAGACATATTCTGAATTATATTTAAACCATTATTTTCTCTTAAAGCTCCAAAACCACCGATGGTTTCTTGAGTCCGGAAGCTCTTTACCTCATCTAATTTGGGAACAGCAGCTATAAATCAGTTTTATTTTAAAACAACTTTCCAAATAAATTCTGATTGTTTCTGGATTTGTTTTCAGCCCTTCTTCGTTCCCTCTACAGAATACAGCTGCATGCTCTACATTCAGAGCCAGCAAAGCATTCACCATCATTGATATCTTGTTGCATTCATTGTTCCCTACAGCACAATTCAAATCAACCACGAAGCTAAACAAGCTCTGTAGCTGCCGATCACTCTTCCGCCTAAAAATCAAGTTTACAGAACAATGTTCTTACTCAGAGCACCCATAAATTCTATGAACCTTATCATTAGTCCTATGAATCAAGGACCATATTGTGGTCTTTATATGCCAGCTCTGAATTTCTCTCCTTACTACTGTTTAACAAGGATTTTATTGATAGAGACATTAATAGTGTTTCTATAGTTAAAGTTACATTTTCTAGTTAAAGTTCAGTTTAGAATACCTGTTGATTACAACCAAACTTATACCACCCTCCTGCAGGGCACAGACTATTCGCCAAAAAGTTGCAAGCATATGCATTAAGTAATTGCAGGGCTCAACAGAAATAAAAGCAACTCCTTTATGAAATGTTACTGCTATTCAGATCTCTCTATTGCAGCTTTGTTTCAAATTTCTAACTTTAGACATCTTCAAGAACTCACAGAAGGGCACACTTTAAAAGTAGAAAGTTAACAGCATAATTTTTGTTCATTTTTTTTAACCCCATTAAAACCGCAGATAAAAATTATGTCATTCAGTATGAAGGTGATCACCAATCACCATCTCACCTCCATCATTCACTTGTTAAACTCTCAAAGCAGCACCTTTGTTTGTGTCTTTTCTAATGATGCCCCCTCAAACTTGGGACTTCCACCAAGTTTTCTCATTTTGTTCTTTTAAATTCCTCCTTAAAAACTCTTCTCTGCTCTGTTGCCTACAAAACCTTGACAAAAGTTAGGCTACTGGTATAAAGGCAGTCCTCGGACTTATGACACAATTGGTTCCTGAAAACTGCGTCTTAAGTCAAAATGTTGTAACTCACAGCCAATTTTCCCATAGGACACAATGTTATAAATGGGGGACTGGTTCCTGAACCAAGGTCTGATACCCTATTTTCACCAAAAATAACCCATAATTTTGTACTCAATCAATTGTAGATGAGTAATATAGCTATATTAATGTATTTATATTGTAATTAGCATGCACATTGATTTGGAAAGACTTCTTTGAGGTGACTTTGCTGGACTTTTTGAAGGGCTCTTGGCTGGAGTCTTCTCAGGAGTCTTAGCTGCAGATTTTTCTGGGGTCTTGGCTGCTTTCTTAAAGAAAGCATTGAAGGAAGCTTCGACAGATGGGTGATGCAGTGAACATGATCACTGTCATGGCATCACGTCAGATCAAGTATTGTAAAGTCGAAACTGATGTCAGAAAGTTGAAACAGCGTGTCAATTTATAAACATTGTAAGTGTGAAACGTTGTAACTTGAAACATTGTAAATCGAGGACTGTCTGTACTGACTATCATATATATCATGCTGGCCACACTTTCTCAGTTTCACGTGTTCCCATACCTGGCTATATCCACTTAATGTCTTCAGTCTCATACTTAGATTGTAGGCTCACTGAGGCAAGAAACATCTAAGTTTGTTTAGCACCAAATACAATAGGGTCTTTGTCCAGGACCAAGGCTCCTAAGCACTATGACATTATAGACAGACACTACCACCACCATGCTAAAGAAAGAAATTAAGTGAGGATGTTCAGTTCTTTGTGTAAAGTTTCAATTTACATTTTGCCCTGAGCTGGCTATGTTAATTTGCTATGCCTGAACAGCTGAGTTATTTATCACAGATTTGCACAATATGTAAAATTAAAAAAAAACTAGTTGGTAAAAAAAATCCAGAAATAAAGCCATAGCAATCAGGAAGTTTAATAGCAAATCTCTTTTAAACAGATCATGGCAACGGGGGTGAGGCGGGGGGTGATCAATGCAAACATTTTAACAGATGTCCAAGTAGATGAATAACGGTTTTTGCTTTGATGAAATTATAAGCCTTTGCAAGTCACACACTCAGTACCTGCAGTAGATTATCTGTGGGTTGGTTGATAGGTTTTGCTAAACTCAAAGTGCACAGCTGAGGAAGGATTCAGTGACTATGCCTACATGGCTAAACTGTAACCAAATATGTTGCTATCAACTGGCAGGGGTACCTGAGGTGAGACGAAATCCTGTTGCAGCACAACTTCCTGAGGACCTTAAAAATATGAAAGCATGGTAGGTTCTGTCCTTTGGGGTAAAATAGGGTCTACCCTGTGCAAGGGAGTAAGGAGTATTTCACTAAATACCCTGTGCCAGCAACAAAACATGAATAAACAAACCTTTGCTCCCTCACCTGAATGCTCTTGGACATAGCAGTACAACAGGTGTGTACATTGGCACCAAGTGCAGGGCTACTGAAAGCACAATCTTCTCCCTTTTGAGAATAGAGAGACTTTGGGAGTTAGATTATGACTCAATGGCCAGGTGTAGATTAAATAAGGGGCATATGTGCACGACACTTTAAAGTGCATTTGTTGCCCTGTGAGGTCAGGCCAACTCTCAGGATCTCAATATTGTGCTGTTAGACAGGCGGGTGTGACACAATTGCACATATACAAACACACAAATCAATTAGGTGCATACACACACACACTACCAACTCAGCCACATACATATCCAAACCAGCCTAGGCACATGCATACCTATGACCAGTTCAAGCACATATACTATACACCCCAAAAGTTAGACACAGATCACTCATTTGTATATCATGCACACAATGACATATATATATATATATACACACACACACACCCC